AAGTATTCTATATGCATCTTTATAAGATAGATAGAAGATAGATAGATAAACAGACAGATAAATTTCGATAGATGCATAGATAGATGGGCAGGAAGATGGGTAGGTAGATGGATATTAAGTAGATGGGTGGGTGGGTGGGTCGGTAGGCAGGCAGGTAGGCAGGCAGTAGGCAGGTAGGTCAACAGACAGCAGAGACCGACGGGCGGATGGAAGGACAGAGAGCCAAACATGCAGATAGACAGACAAGCCTTCCCCTGTTATGAGTTTATCCATTCACTCTGCACTTCCTGTTCAATACTGCATCGCTGCAGCTCCACTTAAGAATCCCATTTTTCTCAGCTACCATGCACAACTCTATGCGTCCTCACAGGTTGATCGCACGGTGTAGTCTACTATATCCCGTTTTTTCCGTGTCCCGATATAACTGTAGATACTACAGTGGACTCTGCTGTATATATCTATATATATGTGTATATCTGGCGAGCAAAAGCGAGGGGTATGAGGGATATGGGATACTGGGATTTGGCTGTGCCGGCTGTGGTCATATCCTGGGAACGGGACTGCAAAGCACAATGCTGGACACAGCAAGTTTTTATCCCAAGCAGCAGTCTTGAACCCGATCCCAAGCGGCAATCTGGAACACATAGCCGCACAACTAGACGAATGGACTCTGTGATCTTGCTCGTGAGATGAAATTAACGGATGTGCATGCATGAATCCTCAGCGTTCAACCCAGGCCTATTGGAACATGCAGGAAAAGATGATGTGCTGATCGACATTCATCACTTGAGGCGGCAACCTAGCTGTCGAATTTTTTAGCTCTTCACAGGAGACTTCTCCTTTGGCAGGAAGCGCTTCTTACTAGGTGTATCTGCAGGGGGCTCATCTTTGCCGATCATGCTCGCGTAGATGGCGACTGGCTGGCGAGGTCCGGAGGCAGCTTCAATGTTCTTTTCATCTATCTGCTGCTCTAGCTCAGCAATGCGATGGTGCTTTTGCTCTATAACGTCACCGGCGACCTTCTTGTAGCAAGCAATCTCCTTCTCCAGTTCCGCATTTCGTGGTTCAGGATTGGGGTTTCGCTCCGAGGTCACGACATCGAGCGGCATCGGGTACCACTGTTGACCGTTGACATTTGTCAGCGAGCTCACGCTGTGCAGACTTTGCTTGCTCCTCCAACTCGGTCTTCTCCGCGAGTAGTGCTTCATATGCAATATAACACTCATCCAGCTGCTTTCGCAAAGCTTTCATCTCAAGGAAGGGCTCGAAATCAGGACAGTGAATCTTGTTGAACCCGCAAAGAAGTCTAGTCTCAAGCTTCTCAAAGCCCTCGTTCTCTCTTGCCAAAAGAAATATTGTCTAGCCTGAAACGGCTGCTCGGCGGGCCTCCACGTTTGCACTTGCACTTTCTAGTACAAGTGACTGGCGAGGGCAAGGCCGTCAGGTAGCGTAGAAAAGGTGGGTTCGCGAATTTGTGATGTCATCCTGCTAAGAGCCCAGAGGTTACCTAACAAGAAGAGGATTTTGAGCACCATCCGCACCTCCTGCCAAGTACCCAGGGTTATACCGTGATACTTTCGGGCAATCTCATCTGCAATGTCCGCCACTGGGACGCACTTAAGGCAGGCCGTTCTCACGTGCATGGCAGGGATGATGACATGCTTCACCCAGCCTCGGCTTTCCATGTAGAAAAAAGCTTATCAAGATCCGCTTGGAAGTTGAAACTATCAGCACGTAACCTCCTCCTCCCAACTGTACAACGTACCAATGTTGAAAGTTGTCATCATTCATGAACAAAGTGGCTGCTTTCATCTCTGTGGGCAGCCATTCTGCTCCGATCATCTCGTTGGCGACTTGGCGTGTCTTCCTGATAAGTGGTATGGGTGCATGCACAAATCCGTGGCATAGTCTGAATGGAAATGACATGCCGGGAATTCCAAGAGTCTTGCTTTCTGCAAACATGCCCGGACCCCGTCGTTCGGTGCATAGAATGCCTTGATGTAGCCTCCAGGGCGTAAGCAACTCTTCTACAAGACACTCTGTCTGCTTTCTTGGAAGGCAATCCTTGCTACTTGAGCCCATCCGTGCGAACATGCGCTGGATATTTGCTGTGACATCTGCCTCCCCCAAGCAGACTGCGACACCCAATGGCAGATCTGTAACCTTTGCCAGGGTATCCGTGTTTAAACCCAAATTCTCAGCCATTTCGAAGATCCCCACTAATCAAGTTAAATTCGAGCCTGAGCAACACAAAGACATGTCAATACGCTGTAGTCTACAATCATATCATAGTACGGGCAACATGCAGTAGGTCACCCCGCAGGGCGCCGGAACTGTCCGCGTCATACCTCGGCAGATCAGAATGAGAAGGCGGTTTGGGTCCAGATCATCTCAGCTTGCTCTCATGTCTCAACTTGCCGAGCCCGGTTCTTGTCGAAGACCGATCTCCAGAATTTCACCTCATAGGCGGGTGGAATGGCATAAAACCGGAAGAGAGTCTGAGGACAGAATGCTGCACCAGCCTCCTGGTCCCTGTCCCTCTTCAGGAGGATGCCGGGCCTTGCAGATGGGCACAGTGTCTTTACGATGCTCCTGGAAGCTGTAGGGCTGCGGCTCTTTGCCCTCTGCCAGCAGCTGCTGCCGTATCTTCGCACTCCTCCCATCTAGGGCCACACAAACCATCTGTCGAGCATCAAAAAATGTGGTAACCTTGGACCCTTCATGGAGCTCTGAGAAAACATCTTGCCTGACCACTGTGCGCACTCGGCCCACCACATCGTTCTCGTCGTAGTAGTGCCCAGTCTCAAAAAGTGTGTAGAATAATCGGGCATGGCAGGCACGGCTGCAGGATGGTCATGGCAGCTAGGGTGCTCCCCGTCTGGCGAGTCTCGGAAGGGCTGCGAACACAAAGCTGGGGAAGCGGCATTCCACGGAGGCTTCTTGCGTGGCTTCCGCACCTGGCGACCATGGCGACCACGACTTCTTCAGCCTTAACTGAGGTTTAATGACGGCTGGCCACCGATGGCTGCTGCTCCTGGCCTGCTGATCGAAGTCACCGGCAATCGCAGCCATGATCCTCGAAGTGAGCGGGCCCGCTGTTCAGGTATCGAAAATCTGCTCGGAACGCAGAAAAAGCTCAGCAAGTCTGCCTGGTCACTGTAAACGATCTGCAGATCCTACTGTCGAATTCCAAGCTACGACATCCGCCAGAATCGGGATGACACCGCGCCCAACCATTGACAGAGTCTTTAGAAACAGGATGGTCCTCGTGTACCATGTCAGAGCCCCGCCCAGCGCTCTCTTTCAGGAATGCTGCTATGCTGCTAAGCTGCTCCCAAGTGACACGACTGCATTTCTGGATAGAGTGGAATGGGGCAGGTCCTGTTGCTGTGCGGTCAGTTAACTGAAAGATCTGCTCGTGTCGTTGAGTCCCCGGCTAAGCCCTCTCTAATTCTGTGAAGCCAGACAGCAAGCGACGATTGGCGACTGACTAGCTGAGTGTCAAGCTAAATCATGATGCATCAGTACAGTACGTACATACTGGTGATGACCCCGCAAGGCTGTGGCCCTCCTGCAGCAACTTCGGACTTTGGAGACTCATCGCAATCGCCATCAACGTGAGGACAAGCACCATCGGCAGTACCAGCACCATCACCAGCAGCAGACCACTTTAGCGCACTGCCGCCGAACAATGCTGTTGAAATGGATACGGCTTGAACTCCTTGTAAGCTGAACAGAACACCGAGGCCTCTTACAAGTAGCCATGCCTTCACCATTCAATTAGCGCAGGCACCTTTCCAGCACCGCGGCTGCCCGCCTCGAGCGCCTTGGAAGTGCCACGCATGGCAAGCCCTCTGGCATTTCAGGGGCTGGCGTCACACGATGCTAGCCTACGACAAACCCTGAAGAGCAGCGCTGTTGTGTTCGTTAACGCGGACTCTACCGCTACCAGAAAGTTATGTTCTCGAAACTCTCTGCCAGTTTATGCTACACATGTGGTTGATCTGTAACCCGTGACCCAGCCATCCTTGGAACGCAGATTTGCGAACTAGTTTGGCTGGGTTTGGTTGGGTGCTCAACGCACTAGAGTGCTCCAGCATGGCACTAAAAAACAAAAGATGCAAAGCAGGAGCATGTTGAGACAGGCTTTTGCCACCATGTAAAGGCAAGGCAGCCCACAAACAGTGACAATTACCAGCTGCGTGCACCGTTCCGAGAAACCGTCGACAGCCTGAGTGCACAGTCTCTGTGCAACTTTCGACGGACAGCCTCTCATGTCATTTGGGGCTCCCGGCACGAGCAGCGGCCACGACCCCGACACCGTCATCGAGCACGCGGCACTGACAAAGTCACTTGTTGTTGGTTGCGCATCTGACTGCACTGCTTGGAACCCCAAACTGTCCTCTCTGTGAGTGCTCCATGACCTTGGGTGCTGCTTGTGTTGAACTTCACAAGCATCTCCCGGCCTGCTAAAACGAGGCTCATTTGAAAGGGCTTCGGGTAGCGTCCCAGCTGTGACTAAGTTCACCGAGGGGGCATGCACGCTGAAGAGTCCGGATGTTAGAAACCTGACCTGCACGCTTACAGAAAGACAAAGTGTTACTCTCCATTCCTGTGCTCCCGAAAGCTTGCTCTCAAAACCCTTGAACCCCGAACACGTATCTGGGGCCCGCGGCCCAGCCGTGCAGCTCCACTGAATCAAGAGAACTGGGCGCCACCGCCGCGGAGCGCAGAGCCTTTTGGCATCGAAGGTTTTTCCGGAGGGCAAAGAAAGCTTTGTTGCTTGCATTTATAAGTTGGAATCGAGATGCACGTCATGACGTCCAGAGATGTTGACTGTTGACGACGATGACAACCCAGATGAGGCTGAGGACACAGATCAATGATGATGATGATGATGCTGCTGCTGGTCGTGGTGGTGGTGATGATGATGATGATTGTGATGATGGGGTGATGGGGTGATGGTGATGGTGTTACTGTTGCTGATGCTGATGATGATGATGATGATGGCGATGGCATCATGATGACGGAGGAGGAGGAGGAGGAGGAGGAGCAGGAGCAGGAGGAGGAGGAGAAAGCCTGTGTGATATGGATAGGAGGTGGAGGATGAGATGAGACAGAGGAGATAAGATGAGACCAGACGGGACTAGACGAGGTGAGGATGAAGGAGACAGAAGGTGGATGATGACTGGGATGACGATGATGATGAACTTGATGATGAGGATTGTGAAGATGAAGAGGATGCTGACGGTAAGAACGAGGAAGGCCGAGATGAAGATAAGGTCGAGGGTGATGAGGACGAGATCGAGAAGGATGAGAATGAGAATGAGCACGACGATGGTGAGGACTCTGCGAAAATGCCGCTTATCTACCTGTGCATATGCGCGCGTGACATGTCTTCAGACCTCCGACGTAAAAGACTGATGCCTGCACACTGTCGCTCGACGCATCTAGCGATTTACCGTGTCAATCAATCTCCTTGCCGGTTTTATTCTTTGTGACGTTTTGACCGTCTGCCTGGCGGTTTCACAAAAAGTGTCACTCGGAACTTGGTGATTGTATGGCCAGCGCAATTCATGCTTGAGGTTTCATTGAACCAAATCCCCCATTGCGATGGTTCTCCCCAAACAGCTGGAATGGCACCCGATAGAACAAGGACGCCTTCCGAGTCGAGGCTGTTGAGGTAAAAAGCCTTAAAGATAAAGATACCTGACCTCAAACCAAGACATGCTGAGCACGAAGCTTCACAAAGCAGCTCTTGCTCTCCAGGGCAGCTTGGTGCAGTCAAGCTGGCAGAATCAGATGCTGGGATACATGTGATCACCATGCTGCATTGGCGCACTGCGCCTTACTGGCATAGTACGGATGGCTGTAGCATGACGTGAAACGCGGACTGTCCTTTGTCATGCTTTTCTCTGAGCTGTCGAGGCATCCATTCCCCAATCCCAGACCCGTGTCGCAGGGACGCGTCCGGTGGCCTTGCAGCGCATCCCACGTGCTGCATTGCCGTGCCCTCCAGAAAACCCTGCGCCACTGGCACGGATAATGAAAGTTGATGTGCGATGCGTACATGGGTGCTGCTCGATGTTCAACGCAGTGACATGGATCCCCAGGCTTAGAAGGCCGTTGCAGTTACCTGTGCTTTTGGTTACGAAGTTTATCTTGCCCAGCATAGCCTCCTGCTCTTCATCTGCTTTCCTGCATGCAGTGCAGCTGGACAAAATACGTAGAACAATAACCCACAGGAACCAACTGGTTCTGCAAGAGGCTTTGGGGACGGACTGAAAACGGAGGAACCCTCGTCAGACAAAACCTGGCCTATCAACAGAGATCCATCAGCAATTTCACAGTCATACCAGAAAGACTGTGTCATGAGGCAAGAAACACTATGTTGTTCGGCCCGACACCGGCAAAGCCTTCATCCAACACCAATCCTCGAAACCCCAGACCCAAAACACAAAACAGAACTTGCATGCCAATTCATAGCGGCAAGCCCTCGGTTTGCCACCGTCCTCCAGAGCACAGCCGCTGCAGTGCCCTCGCCGGGCACGGCTCCGCTTGCTGTAGCGTCAAAGACGCGGCAGCGCCTGAGTGTAGCTGCAGGTTTCTTTACGTGGGCCTATGAGATTCATTGAGAATTCGGGGCTTGGGGTTCAAGGAGTTGGCTCCTGGATGTGGCGGTTCTGGGACTTGCCGCTCAAGCAGCCGTCTGAAATCCAGGTGTGCTGTAATGCCAATAGTCAACTCTGACTCTGTTGCACAGGCACAAAGACATGCATGGTCTTCTCTCGGAGTGCAAATCGAACATGCAGGAGTCGGTTGCGGCATGCATCTGAGCGTGCTGAGCTATGAGAAACAGGCGGGTCCTGGGTGCTGCACCCTGTTGTACCCAAGAGTCCTGCAGCCTGGCCAGTCCGGCGTCCCGAGGCCAAGATACTATGCAAGTTCTAGATTCTTGCCACGCAATAACCTGTCAGGGACTTGATGTTGCCCTGAGTTCCTTCAACCGCTACATGCTGTTGTTGTACGTAGCGCGATAACTTCACATTCGGGCCACCCTGCATCCGTTGGGTTCACAGCTTTGTCACGCGACCCCCCGCATGCGATCTACGAGCGTAGCGTTTATCTCACATCAGTCGGCGAGAATACACATCAGCAGATGCTAATCCCCAAGTAGACGCTGTTTTTAGTTTTCAACTACTTTTCACTGCATACCAGAGCACATTTTGGCACCGAATCCCCAAGTAGACGCTGCGTTTTCCAGTCGCATGAATCGATGCCCTGGGTGCACTGGAGATCCACGTTCCGAGTTTTGATCCTTTGGCTGCCTGGCTGCAACCGCGGTCCACGTATCGAGCACCGAAACAAACGCCAAGATCCGCGAAACCAGCACGCATTTTCGAAGCACTTAATGCGCGATACACACACGAGATCTGCGTACCAAGTTTTGACTTTCGAGGCAGCACACCACATCCAACCCAGCCATTCCCCATCTAGACGCTCGATTCCACGTGGAACCATCGGATGAATCACAAATGAAAGTGATTGTTTGAAAGCAGTTCCCGAGCGTGGACGCTGATCGATGCGTATTTCAACCCGGCGATGCGAGATAAAGCGACCCCCCTGTACATGCCAAAACGGCATCAAGCTGCAGCATGACGAAGCTACAAAAAAAGCCGAGCGGCACGAGGCTTCTCCCTGAACTAAGAAGCCGAGCAGCCAGCAGCAAAGAACAGAAGCTCTACACTGAATGCACAGCTCAACCTTTTCTGCTCAAACACCTCTCAACAGTCCGTCCATGCACTTTCTCAAGGCTGGCGAAAAGACAACCTGCCTGGCGAGGAGGCCAGCTGCGTGGTGAGAGCAGCACCGAGACGCCCACCGCACAGGAGAACTGATGCGGTTCGGAGGTTCAGGGGCCCTCAGGGGGTTCAGGCAGGCGCTTACAAAAGAGACGTGTTTGGGTGAATGCAAGCACAGTGCTGGAAAGAATCCTAGAAGTTGCAGCAAGATAGACTCTTTGGGAAGGGTATGGAGACCTCGAGGCCCAGCTTGACGTTCTACTTGTGGCCGAGGTCAGTTTTTAGCTCGCGGCGCTGTCGCTGAGTTGGCCCTTCCACTCCGGAGGCCGGTTCTGCAAGGCGATTTGCTGCGAGTGGTGCATGCTTCGGCAGAGAAGCAGTTCTTGAGGCCGTTGGATCGGATTGCCATGTGCAAGCTGGCAACTGCACGACACTTCGAGTGACCAGCATCGAGGCATCGAAGAAGTTGTCTAGGTCCAGGTACGATCACCACCAAGCTCTTGATCTTTGCGGGACGATGCTCTACGAAGCCATGCCGGACATGAAGAAGGTCGTCATGGCCTCAAGCTCCCTCCGCTGCAGCTCCACATGGAGTGCCTCGTCCCCTCTTCTGCGCTGGAGGACGGAGAGCTCCCGAAAGTCACTGCGGGCAAGAGAAAGGTCTTTGCGCAATGGACCATTACACAGCGAGCCGTTTTGCAGGCGCAGCTGTGCACAAACATGTGCACCCTGGACGCCAGGCACCTTTCCCAGCACGAGTCCCTCAGGAAGGACCTTTACACCGAATGCTTTCTGCAGCACGCGCTCTCGCTGCAGGCGGAGGCGCTGCAGCATGTTTTGGACTTCCTGATGCAAGAACTTGAGCTTGCGAACCCTGGCAGCTGCTTTGCGCTGCTGTCTTTCTTCGGCTCTCGCTTCTCTCTCTCGCCGCCTTGCTTCTCTCAAGAGTCTCCTCTCCTCGGCCGTCTGCAGTTTCTCCTGCCTTCTCTCCTGCCGCTCCTGATTTCGCTGGGCCGCTTCTTTTCGCTTCCGTGCTTCCTCCTCCTGCTTTTCCGCCTGCCGAGCTGCCTGCACCTGCCTGTGTCTTTGTTGACGCTCCTCCTGCATTTTCGCCTTGTTGGCAAGCTCGGACTCCCAAATAGGAAATAGCTCTTCCAGGTCAAGTCTCCGATTGCTGTTGTTCGCTGTACATCTGCAGCAGAAGCGAATACGAATGGCAGGAGACTGGGAAGCAGCCCTGTTCGAGTGCATCTCGGTGACTGCATGGCTGAGAGCCTCTCTGCAGCTACAGCCTGCTGCAAGGTGTTCGTAAAATCGTTGCCGCATTCGAACCAGACTGATATGCAGATCAATGATCTTGTTTAGGTCAACGGTGCTTTGCGAGTATGCCCCGACTCCCTTGAAATACACGCTCGCTTGGTAGGAGCTGTCTCGCTTGTTCCTGCAGATTCCCCGAAGGAGCTTCCTCTCGCCGCTTTGCTGATCGCATTGCTTTACCTCTCCTTCTTCGTTCACTTCGTTCACTTCGTTCCCTTCTTCATCGGCGTCAGCCGCGCAGATGGCCAAGAGAGGCTCAGCTTCCTCGGAAAGCTCCTCACTCTCTGAGCTGCTGCCCGCGCTCCCTGCGCTCCCTGCGCTCCCCGCGCTGCCGCTCGGAACGACCGTCGCCAGCGTGCTCTGGTCACAGGACTCGAGGAATTCCAGAAGGCGTTGCAGGACCTCCTCAGTCATGGCCTGGAGGCGGGCACGGAGTGCCACCTGGCTCAGTCTGAGCAGCTCCTGCACCCAAGCCACGTTGTCCTTGCACTCTTCTGGTGGCTCAGCTCTCGTGCTAGGGCCACTAGGGGTGCTGCGAGTCGCATGACCGTCCTCGCCCTTGGCTTTCTTCTCTCCGGAAGTTCTTGTTCTCTTCGCCGCTGGGCCTGCTGGGCCTGCTGGGCCTGTGGCTACCCGGCGCTCCTTGGGAGCGGCTCTTGCGCGCCTCAGCTGGAGATCGTAAGCTGCGCGGCGCACGGGATCTGTAAGAGTCTCGAAGGCTGTCACCACGAGCCTGAAGGCTTCCGGCGTGCCTCCCTTATCTGGGTGGGTGGCAAGCGCCTGCCGCCGGTAAGCAGAGCGCAGCTCCGCTTCGGCCGCAGAGCTGCTCACGTTCAAGGCGTCATAGAACGACGGCATGGGCAAGATGCCATGAAGGAAGAAGCCTACATCGGGCTAACTGGACAGTGCTTGGACATGCTTGGACTTTGGGCTGGGAGGATTAAGGTTGGGCGAAAACCGTATCTGCCAGTGCAGTAGGAAGTCGCAGCACAAATGGCTACAAAACCGGAGTTTCTGACCTTTGTGATTCTGCACTCGCACGGCGAAGCACATCTGCACAGACTGCTGGGACTGTGCATCTTCGGAGGCCTGGCCTCTGGCATCTCTGCCCCGCATTCCCTGACAAGCTGTGGGCTTGGCAGACAAAGCCAACTGCAGGCCAGACAGAAGTTGACGAAGTGCGTGTGTGTCGCAGCCATGTGCAAGCGAGATGATGAAACGTGATTCTCTGGATGAGCCTGTCCGTCATGATACTATCGGACTTGCACAATCTCTTTGGGACGGAGAATGGGTATGCTGCGACTTCAATCCAAGACGAATTCCGGGCGAGCCCGCAGCCCTGGCCAAGCGATGAAAGCAGCAAGTGCCAACCGACTGAAGCATGTGTCTGTGAGTACGACAGTTGCACGGCGGGACCTCTGTACCTGGCGCATGCACAGGAATTACCATTTGGGTGGATAAATTCAGCCTGCATGGCAAGCTACCTGAAAATCTCTATCGTCTCGGGACCGAATCTCTTGGCTTTCCACTTACAGCTTACTCGTGCACAGGTGTGGAGCTCTTGCTGTTGGCCAGTGAGCAAACGAAAGACATGGCATCTGCCCTTGCCTGCGCGCCGAAATGCACCTGGCTAAAAACATGCCGCAATTTCATGTTGAGTAACATTTCCACAATACGCGAAACAGAGCTTACGTCCAGGGTATCTATAAGTCAGAAACGATCAGTGCGAGCATGATCCTGCTTGTGCTTCGTGCCCTGGCTGTCGTAGGAGCTGTTGGAGAAATGATGGTGGTGCTGGTGAATGCTGGTGCTGGTGCTGGTGCTGGTGCTGCTGCTGGTGCTGGTGCTGGTGCTGCTGCTGGTGCTGCTGCTGCTGCTGCTGCTGCAGCTGCTGCTGCTGCTTCTGCTGCTGCTGCTGCTGCTGTTGCTGCTGCTACTGCCACTGCCACTGCCACTGCCACTGCCACTGCCACTGCCACTGCCACTGCCACTGCCACTGCGAC